GTATAGGAAGTTTTAGCTTCTCGAAAGGTGAACACTGAATGCTATCTTTTACTGCTGTACGAAGTCCCATAATGACTGAGTATTCTTCACAAAGAAGCAGGGGTCTCGTAATATCGATATGTGTAAACCGCTCATCAAATGACAGAAAAGAACCGAACACTGAACACAGATCTTTTTCCAAAGTCGAATATCCAGCTTCATGCGCAAGTTCGTGATTAGCTTGATGGAGGCGTTAGTACCATAATGAGAAGTTATGAATTTTGAAGACAAATATACGCCGTAAAGACTCAGGAACGTAGTCGACTGGTACTCTTGTCATACACAATTTCCGGGTTTCCGTTAGAAACGGGAATTTTCATCAGTTTCAATTAATATGTCTTAGAAAAAAATATATTGAATTTATCAAACTTACATTTACTTGGTTTAATAAAAACTCTAAAAGTTTGAAAACGTTAAAAAAACAAAGTGCGCATGTTCTTCTATGGAATAACTGTCCGTAAGGACGTCATCCACATACGCGCCAGCAAAATTTAAATCGTGCAGCACATGGTCAATGGAACTCTAGAAGGTTTGTACCGCATTCTTTAGTCCGAAAAAAAAATGGAATAGTAATAGCAGTCTTGGGAATATGCAGTTCTACCGGGATCTGATGAGATCCACTTTGGTAAAAAAGCATTTACCTTGGGCGATTGTTATGATGTTGCAAATTTAGAAAATGAGCATATATATGATTTGGTAACTGAGTTGAGGGTCCTATAGTCACTGCAAACCAGTTAAGTACCACTGTATTTGTGGACTAGATGTGTCGGAAAAGCCCAGTTATTGTCATTTAACTAAATTCAACTTTGGACATTCGTAGTTTATCTGTGAGTGTGGATTGAAGGGCAAATAGAAGTAATATGGTTTGCAAGCCCATGGAGCAATGTTTCTTTGTGAAAATACGGCTTGGAGAATTTATCTAAAACCTAACAAAAACAGGATTATCCTTGGATTTGGCCAAGGTGGCGGTATTATAGAGACAGTATAAAAAATATAATGTGAGTCTCAGAATCCACCAGACAATGTCTGTGTAGATACATGAAAACAACATTTGTACAAAAAGTCAACGCCTGTAATTAAAGAGGTTGATGAAAACCTGTAATAGGCCTAAATTCGGGGAGAGGCATTTTTGTCTATAGGTCTGCATCGGAGACTTGAACAAGCTCTGAAATGTAAACTTACTGTAGGGAACACTCCACCTAGCGAACAGATAAGTGAGGTGAGTTAATGCTCTTGACACAGTAAGGAGAACCGAGATGGATTAAGGCACTTGCCACGGATAGATACCAGTCCTGTTCAGATAAAAGGTTAAAGAAACACGTGCTGCAACCAACGTCCAGATTCACACCATGGGGAACGGTCTTCCCAGGAATATACAAAAGACTATATGTAAATATTGTGTACACTTTCTTGTTTCAATACATTTTGTTCTAAGTATATTTTGTGTTGTATTATTATTCCATGCATTAGTCAAGTTTCAACAGTTTCACAGAACATCTCTACCTCGATTCGTTTACAAGGCATTCACTTCACAGTCGACACAGCTAACCCCGGTCCACAGAACTGGCCTCCCAACACCCGCCGTCATCTCGGCCTACCTCGACTCGTTTACAAGGCATTCCCTTCGCAGTCGACCCCAGCGACATTCGATCCACAGAAAAGCTCTACCTTGACTCGTTTACAAGGCATTCCCTTCACAGTCGACGCAGCGACCTCCGTACCACAGAACAGGGCTACCAAGACCACGCCAATCCGACGTCACCCCATTTCAACACAGAAGCCGACCAACCGACAAGACGACCTACAGCCGCGACCTCCATCAACCAAACGTGCACCAACCGTATCCTGTGACCTCGGCCACGCTATTTCTGTACTCTCTACCAACAATGAACGTTGTTTCACTCTAATCCTCGTTATTCATTTCTCTCGCTACCATATGCTTAATATAATATATCAGTTGACCACCTCACTTCACTTTAGCTCAAAGGGTAGTAATCTTGTAGAGTGCAAACCTCATTGACTGTAAGTACCGTATTCATCTCATGTTGTTTTGTTGTTTTACATTGTTGCATTTAATAAAAATAGTAAACGTATTTTAGCACCCTTCTTTGAATTTCCCTTTATTACCTCGTATTTATTTTTATTTAGGAGCTCTTTGAGCTGTTATAAAATAACGACCCAACATTACAATGTTCTTTCACTTTATCTAAAATCAGAAATTAAGGAGATATGAACGACACTGTGCACAAGAAACCTCGTACCAGTTATATGGCCACGTACAAATAAAAGACGACAGCATTCTCCATTGGCAGTACGAATTCGTCACCAGCATCCAACTTACGCTTTTTGCTCGAACGTATAGGGTAGTTTACACATTCGGGTCTTTTCGCCATATTTTTGTATACATCGCATACAGGGTTATTGTTCTTCTCATGCTACTAAAAGAGCAGCCATAAATATTTTATGTTGTAATACAGATGTGGCTAACGTGAGAAGGGATGCTCCTTCTTAGCCTGAGAAGGAGCATCCCTAATCTTGCAATATGCTTCGATTTGGGCGAAGTACAAGGCTAGATGCATTTCGGAATAGGGCAAATTTATTTAAATTATGGGCATTATTTTATCCTTCACAGGGCTCACGCTAAATAATAAAATGTTTTGTTAGGCCGAAATTTAATATGTAATAAATGGCGTAATGAAGATGTGTGAAATGACTAGTGAGAAAGGAGAATTACTATAATGTAGGAACGGCACAACATGCAAATTACAAATTGGAGTTACTGAAATCAAACTAGTACAACCATTCAAATATCTTGAAAGCTTCTTAACGGAAGACGGAAAGTGCAACACTGAAATCCAAAGGCGCATTGGGATAACGAAAGATGCCTTCCAAAAGCTTAGCAATAAGAAAAAGTTTCCTAAAAAACAGAGTTCTGAACTGTTATGTAATATCAGTCCTCCCATATGGCAGTGAATCTCGGACAATCTCCTCACAGATGAAAAAAGGAATTGAAGCTACGAAAATGTGATTCTACAGAAGGATACTGAGAATACCATGGATCGAATATGTGAGCAACGATGAAATTTTAGAGAAGATGGAAACAAAAGAACACTTATACGTAACACCAGGAAGAGATAGTTCAAATTTCTAGGACACATAATGAGGAAAGAGGGCTTGGAAGATTTGATACTCACATGACAGACCTAAGACAAGAGAAACAAAAGAAAACCATGCATTACCTACCTGGCGAGCTTGAGTATATGGCTGGCGAAGCTGGGTTTGGGAGGGATGGCGAAAAGGCAAAATTTATTGAAAGCTACAAAGGACAGGAATTTATGGAGAGCTATGATCGCCAACTTTCTGAATGGACACGGCACATAGAAGACGTAGTTGCAACCAACATCGAATAGGAGATAAAAGAATTCAAACACCTGTCGTAGGTAGACCAGCTTCAGTAGTGGGAGGTAAATGAGAGGGTAAGGATGGTTGTTTGGGTGCCAAATTTGAGACGAAGCGATAAGAGAAAATCAGGCGTATTGAGTTTCAAACAACTTAGTTTAAAGCGCATGTACGCACACACATACACAAAAATCGTGCACTACTAAAAGACATACTACCAAGACGCATTTATTTTCAGACTTGATATGTGTGCTGTTTTTAGGTTCACACACATACACACATATAGAGACGCCTGAAATTATACAAAGTTTTTCGTATTATGTAGTACATGTAGAATAAAACCAATTATTAAATGATATCACCTCGGCAATTAAATCCAGTTTGGAACGTTCCAATAAAACACATCGCACGAATGGATAGAAAGCGATAGAAATCTCATTACACATGTCAAAATACCGTAAGAAAACGTCGGGAAGTCACCTAAAAGTAGATAAAATTGTTAATTGTGGAAAATGATTATCACGTTGGGAATCAATTATTTGAATGGTAGGTAGAGATACATTTATCTTAAAATAGCATTACTATCATACAGGCGATATGTAGTGAATAAAATCAAGGACATATATATTTTCAGAGAAAACACTTTATTCAGAGAAACTAGATAGACAACAGTTTGTTCATGCAGCGAACCGAATACACATTAAAAGATAAAGAAATAACCGCGAAATGAGGCTTTACTTGTATATTAACTTGGTCATTCAGCGCATCAGTGATGTGGGTAGGCCATAAAAGACGAGAGAAAATAGTGTGGAGTAGACATGAGGAATTGGCACGGCGACTTACATTTCGCGCGCCTAACCAGACTGTCATGAGACATATTAATCTTTGACGTATGCATAAATTATTGCTGAATCAAGGGTCGATAATTAAGTTTTACAACGATACATTTGTATACTTGTTGCTGTTCACACAATGTTTCCATTCTACAGCGAAATACTCAAAAATGAACTAAGGATGGAGATGTCTTCATTTTTCTGTCTTACTTTTAGCTAGTTCCATTAATGACCCATCAACATTACAGTTTTCATTTCTTGATCCACACCACCAACTCGTCCCTCCCTTCCAAAATACCACATTGACTATTGCTGCGGAACTACCTGGAGGGGGCGCAATGTAATATGGCCCGTCTGCCCCAATAAGGCATAGATGTCACAAGAAGCCCACGAACATTTTAGAAATAAAGACGTGAAATCTGACAAGTCAACAGGAGGAGAACAAGCGACAAGCTGAAAATCGATACTATATTTATTTACATCATCTACAAAGGTATGTGTCTGGATTAAAGGAACATGAACAAACAGTGAATCGGGTAATGGCGACATAATTAAAGATTACTGACTGGCTAGAAAATCTAGATACTATAACTGTGGCTAAATGTAAAAAGTAGAGTCCGTGTAACTTAAGTTGGCATGTAAGTCCACAGTTCGACAGTTCAGTTCACATGTTCGGCGAAAGTGTTGAAACGTTGCTGGTTAATCCAATGATGAACCTTCGGTAGTATATTAACCGAAGTGTATGGAGTAGGTTATTTGAAGTCTTGACGATATAGCCAAAGAGAAGAAAGTTCCATTTAAATGCCCGGTGCTGCTGTTGCGTAGTTGCTGGTTAAGTTCAACGGTGGAACGTAGTATTTTAACCGAAGTGTACGGGTAGGTTATTTGAAGTCTGGACGATATAGCCAAAGAGAAGAAAGTTCCATTTAAATGCCCGGTGCTGGTGTTGCGTAGTTGCTGGTTAAGTTCAACGGTGAACCGTAGTATTTTAACAAAGTGTACAGGTAGGTTATTTGAAGTCTGGACGATATAGCCAAAAGAGAAGAAAGTTCCATTCAAATGCCCGGTGCTGGTGTTGCGTAGTTGCTGGTTAAGTTCAACGGTGAACCGTAGTATTTTAACCAAAGTGTACGGGTAGGTTATTTGAAGTCTGGACGATATAGCCAAAAGAGAAGAAAGTTCCATTTAAATGCCCGGTGCTGGTGTTGCGTAGTTGCTGGTTAAGTTCAACGGTGAACCGTAGTATTTTAACCAAAGTGTACGGGTAGGTTATTTGAAGTCTGGACGATATAGCCAAAGAAGAAAGTTCCATTTAAATGCCCGGTGCTGGTGTTGCGTAGTTGATGGTTAAGTTCAACGGTGAACCGTAGTATTTTAACCAAAGTGTACGGGTAGGTTATTTGAAGTCTGGACGATATAGCCAAAAGAAGAAAGTTCCATTTAAATGCCCGGTGCTGGTGTTGCGTAGTTGATGGTTAAGTTCAACGGTGAACCGTAGTATTTTAACCAAAGTGTACGGGTAGGTTATTTGAAGTCTGGACGATAGCCAAAGCCAAAGTTCCATTTAAAAGTTCCATTTAAATTCAACGGTGCTGGTGTTGCGTAGTTGCTGGTTAGTCTGGACGTTCAACGTGCTGGTGTGGCGTAGTATTTTAACCAAAGAGTTTGTAACCAAAGTGTAGGTAGGTTATTTGAAGTCTGGACGATATAGCCAAAGAAGAAAGTTCCATTTAAATGCCCGGTGCTGGTGTTGCGTAGTTGCTGGTTAAGCTCAACGGTGAACCGTAGTATTTTAACCAAAGTGTACGGAGTAGGTTATTTGAAGTCTGGACGATATAGCCAAAAAGAAAAAAGTTCCATTTAAATGCCCGGTGCTGGTGTTGCGTAGTTGATGGTTAAGCTCAACGGTGAACCGTTCCATTTAAATGCCCGGTGCTGGTGTTGCGTATTTTAACATTTAAAGTGTACGGAGGTAGGTTATTTGAAGTCTGGACGATATAGCCAAAGAGAAGAAAGTTCCATTTAAATGCCCGGTGCTGGTGTTGCGTAGTTGCTGGTTAAGTTCAACGGTGAACCGTAGTATTTTAACCAAAAGTGTACGGGTAGGTTATTTGAAGTCTGGACGATATAGCCAAAGAAGAAAAAGTTCCATTTAAATGCCCGGTGCTGGTGTTGCGTAGTTGATGGTTAAGTTCAACGGTGAAACGTAGTATTTTAACCAAAAGTGTACGGAATAGGTTATTTGAAGTCTGGACGATATAGCCAAAGAGAAGAAAGTTCCATTTAAATGCCCGGTGCTGGTGTTGCGTAGTTGATGGTTAAGTTCAACGGTGGAACGTAGTATTTTAACCAAAGTGTACGGAATAGGTTATTTGAAGTATGGACGATATAGCCAAAGAGAAGAAAGTTCCATTTAAATGCCCGGTGCTGGTGTTGCGTAGTTGCTGGTTAAGTTCAACGGTGGAACGTAGTATTTTAACCAAAGTGTACGGAATAGGTTATTTGAAGTATGGACGATATAGCCGATATAAAAAGAAGAAAGTTCCATTTAAATGCCCGGTGCTGGTGTTGCGTAGTTGCTGGTTAAGTTCAACGGTGAACCGTAGTATTTTAACCAAAGTGTACGGAGTAGGTTATTTGAAGTCTGGACGATATAGCCAAAGAGAAGAAAGTTCCATTTAAATGCCCGGTGCTGGTGTTGCGTAGTTGCTGGTTAAGTTCAACGGTGAACCGTGTATTTTAACCAAAGTGTACGGAATAGGTTATTTGAAGTCTGGACGATATAGCCAAAAAGAAAGTTCCATTTAAATGCCCGGTGCTGGTGTTGCGTAGTTGCTGGTTAAGTTCAACGGTGAACCGTAGTATTTTAACCAAAGTGTACGGAGTAGGTTATTTGAAGTCTGGACGATATAGCCAAAAGAAGAAAGTTCCATTTAAATGCCCGGTGCTGGTTTTGCGTAGTTGATGGTTAAGCTCAACGGTGAACCGTAGTATTTTAACAAAAGTGTACGGAGTAGGTTATTTGAAGTCTGGACGATATAGCCAAAGAAAGAAAGTTCCATTTAAATGCCCGGTGCTGGTGTTGCGTAGTTGCTGGTTAAGCTGGTGAACCGTAGTATTTTAACCAAAGTGTACGGGTAGGTTCAAAGGTGGAAAGTTTCATTTAAATGCCCGGTGCTGGTGTTGCGTAGTTGATGGTTAAGTTCAACGGTGGAACGTTATTTGTAAGTAGGTTATTTGAAGTCTGGACGATATAGCCAAAAGAAGAAAAGTTCCATTTAAATGCCCGGTGCTGGTGTTGCGTAGTTGATGGTTAAGTTCAACGGTGAACCGTAGTATTTTAACAAAGTGTACGGAATAGGTTATTTGAAGTCTGGACGATATAGCCAAAGAAAAAAGTTCCATTTAAATGCCCGGTGCTGGTGTTGCGTAGTTGCTGGTTAAGTTCAACGGTGAACCGTAGTATTTTAACCAAAAGTGTACGGAATAGGTTATTTGAAGTCTGGACGATATAGCCAAAGAGAAAAAGTTCCATTTAAATGCCCGGTGCTGGTGTTGCGTAGTTGCTGGTTAAGTTCAACGGTGAAACGTAGTATTTTAACCAAAGTGTACGGGTAGGTTATTTGAAGTCTGGACGATATAGCCAAAAGAAGAAAGTTCCATTTAAATGCCCGGTGCTGGTGTTGCGTAGTTGATGGTTAAGTTCAACGGTGAACCGTAGTATTTTAACCAAAGTGTACGGGTGGGTTATTTGAAGTCTGGACGATATAGCCAAAAGAAAAAAGTTCCATTTAAATGCCCGGTGCTGGTGTTGCGTAGTTGATGGTTAAGTTCAACGGTGAACCGTAGTATTTTAACCAAAAGTGTACGGGTAGGTTATTTGAAGTCTGGACGATATAGCCAAAGGAAAAAGTTCCATTTAAATGCCCGGTGCTGGTGTTGCGTAGTTGATGGTTAAGTTCAACGGTGAACCGTAGTATTTTAACCAAAAGTGTACGGAGTAGGTTATTTGAAGTCTGGACGATATAGCCAAAGAGAAGAAAGTTCCATTTAAATGCCCGGTGCTGGTGTTGCGTAGTTGCTGGTTAAGTTCAACGGTGAACCGTAGTATTTTAACCAAAGTGTACGGAGTAGGTTATTTGAAGTCTGGACGATATAGCCAAAGAGAAGAAAGTTCCATTTAAATGCCCGGTGCTGGTGTTGCGTAGTTGCTGGTTAAGTTCAACGGTGAACCGTAGTATTTTAACCAAAGTGTACGGACGTAGGTTATTTGAAGTCTGGACGATATAGCCAAAAGAAGAAAGTTCCATTTAAATGCCCGGTGCTGGTGTTGCGTAGTTGCTGGTTAAGTTCAACGGTGAACCGTAGTATTTTAACCAAAGTGTACGGGTAGGTTATTTGAAGTCTGGACGATATAGCCAAAAGAGAAGAAAGTTCCATTTAAATGCCCGGTGCTGGTGTGGCGTAGTTGCTGGTTAAGCTCAACGGTGAACCGAAAAAAGTATTTTAACCAAAGTGTACGGAGGTAGGTTATTTGTACGGAATAGGTTATTTGAAGTCTGGACGATATAGAAAAAGTTCCAAAGTGCTGGTGTTCAGTTTTAAATGCCCGGTGCTGGTGGACGATTGCGTAGTTGCTGGTTAAGTTCAACGGTGAACGGTGGAACGTATTTTAACCAAAGTGTACGGAATAGGTTATTTGAAGTATGGACGATATAGCCAAAAGAAAAAGTTCCATTTAAATGCCCGGTGCTGGTGTTGCGTAGTTGCTGGTTAAGTTCAACGGTGAACCGTAGTATTTTAACCAAAGTGTACGGGTAGGTTATTTGAAGTCTGGACGATATAGCCAAAAGAAGAAAGTTCCATTTAAATGCCCGGTGCTGGTGTTGCGTAGTTGATGGTTAAGCTCAACGGTGAACCGTAGTATTTTAACCAAAGTGTACGGAGTAGGTTATTTGAAGTCTGGACGATATAGCCAAAAAGAAAAAGTTCCATTTAAATGCCGGTGCTGGTGTTGGTGTTGCTGGTAGTTGGTGAACACGTAGTATTTCAACGGTGAACCGTAGTTATTTTTTAAAAAAAAGTTCCATTTAAATGCCCGGTGCTGGTGTTGCGTAGTTTTTAAGTTCAACGGTGGACAAAGTGTATAGGCCAAGTCTGGACGATATAGCCAAAAAGTTCCATTTAAATGCCCGGTGCTGGTGTTGCGTAGTTGCTGGTTAAGTTCAACGGTGAACCGTAGTATTTTAACCAAAAGTGTACGGGTAGGTTATTTGAAGTCTGGACGATATAGCCAAAGAGAAAAAAGTTCCATTTAAATGCCCGTTGCTGGTGTTGCGTAGTTGCTGGTTAAGCTCAACGGTGAACCGTAGTATTTTAACCAAAGTGTACGGAGTAGGTTATTTGAAGTCTGGACGATATAGCCAAAAGAAAAAAGTTCCATTTAAATGCCCGGTGCTGGTGTTGCGTAGTTGCTGGTTAAGTTCAACGGTGAACCGTAGTATTTTAACCAAAGTGTACGGGTAGGTTATTTGAAGTCTGGACGATATAGCCAAAGAAGAAAGTTCCATTTAAATGCCCGGTGCTGGTGTTGCGTAGTTGATGGTTAAGTTCAACGGTGAACCGTAGTATTTTAACCAAAGTGTACGGGTAGGTTATTTGAAGTCTGGACGATATAGCCAAAAAAAAAAGTTCCATTTAAATGCCCGATGCTGGTGTTGCGTAGTTGCTGGTTAAGCTCAACGGTGAAACGTAGTATTTTAACCAAAGTGTACGGAGTAGGTTATTTGAAGTCTGGACGATATAGCCAAAAAAAGTTCCATTTAAATGCCCGGTGCTGGTGTTGCGTAGTTGATGGTTAAGTTCAACGGTGAACCGTAGTATTTTAACCAAAGTGTACGGAATAGGTTATTTGAAGTATGGACGATATAGCCAAAAGAAAAAGTTCCATTTAAATGCCCGGTGCTGGTGTTGCGTAGTTGCTGGTTAAGTTCAACGGTGGAACGTAGTATTTTAACCAAAGTGTACGGAATAGGTTATTTGAAGTCTGGACGATATAGCCAAAGAGAAGAAAGTTCCATTTAAATGCCCGGTGCTGGTGTTGCGTAGTTGCTGGTTAAGTTCAACGGTGAACCGTAGTAGTTTTTAACCAAAAGTGTACGGGTAGGTTATTTGAAGTCTGGACG